AAAACATTTGGGCAAATTTCGGATTACTTTTGAACAAATTCTGGTTAGACATGCATGGATCAAAGGGGATCTGGATCCCTGGAATATTCAACTTTATTATTACCCCCCCCCCCAAAAAAAAAAACGAAGTTTGGGGATATATAGGAATCAGCTTGTCCGTCTGTCCATCTGTCCATCTGTCTGTGCAAAAGTGTCCGGTCCATATCTTCCTAAATGAGGAACATTAGAATCTACTACTCCACACAAAGATTGCTCATGACCTTAGGGTGTGTCACGACCTTGACCCAAGGTCATTTGGGGAAGTTCAAAGTCACTAAAAAATTTAATTCGTGTCCGGTCCACATCTTTCTTACGGATAAACTTGGCATGTTCTTATTTCACACAAAGATTTCTCATGACCTAAGATTGTTTCATAACCTTGGCCCAAGGTCATTTAGGGAAGTTCAAGGTCACTGAAAAAGTTTCATAATTCGTGTCCAGTCCATATCTTTCTTATTGATAAACTTGGTAGGTTCTCATTTCACACAAAGACTGCCCATGCATGAAGAGTATGTCATGACCTTAGGCCAAGGATATTTGTGGAAGTTCAAGGTCACTGGAAGAAATATTTCATAATCAGTGTCCGGTCCATATCTTTTTTTATGGATTAACTTGGTATGTTCTTATTTCACACGAATATTGCCCATGACCTAAGATTGTGTCATGACCTTGAGCCAAGGTTCTTTAGGGAAGTTCAAGGTCACTCAAAAAATTTCATAATTTGTGTCCAGTCCAGATCTTTCTTATGGATAAACTTGGTATGTTCTCATCTCACACAAAGACTGCCCATGACTGAAGGTTATGTCATGACCTTGAACCAAGGTCATTTTGGGAAGTTCAAGGTCATTGAAGAAAAATTTCATAATTTGTGTCCGCTCCATATCTTTCTTATGGATGAACTTGGTAGGTTCTTATTTCACACAAAGGTTGCTCATGACCTAAGAGTGTGTCATGATCTTGACGCAAAATCATTTGGGGAAGTTTAAAGCCACTTGAAGAAAAAATTTTATTATTTGTGTCTGGTCCATATCTTTTTTTATGGCTAAACCTCAATCTACTACTTCACACAAACCTTGCTTATTATCTGATTTTCTGTCATGACTTTGATCCAAGGTCATTAATGCAAGGCCAAGGTCACTGACAGAAAAAGTCCATAATTCGTGTCTGGTCCGTATAATTAGTCTTTTTTTTTTTTATAAGGATGAGCCTTCGTTTCATTTATGAAAATATTATGAGAAATTACATTTGCATTAAAAATGTTGTAGCATTTCACTTTTCTCTTAGATCCATTAAATATTCATGATTTAACACCTCTGAAAAACCCAGCGGGGGTATTTAGTCCCGTTTAGACAGTTCTAGTTTAAACTGACATAGTGATTTGAACCACTACCTCCTAGGGAAATTTTCTAGATGCACCTAACAAAAAAAATTCAATCGGGCTCCGGCTGTCGACCTGAATATAAACGATTAATTCATTAAGAAAATCGCTGTCATTTGAGTGTTGTAATGCAGGGAAAACATACTTTTGTGATACATGTATTGGAATGAGGTGGACGCGTTGGCGCGCCAAATACAATTAGCCATGTCAGTTACAGCTAATGAAAGTTTTGCTGCAAATTTCATATCCCTAATTTGAGGAAACCAACGATTCTTTATTTTCCTGATTATTTATAAATATGTGTTATTATAGGCAGGAATGTAAAAATACTCTTAAACATTATTCTTATACACTTTAGCTAAAGCTTTTTCATACTCTTTAGTCATATTCTGTCAATAACAAATAAAAGCCGTTTGTCTGCACTTTGACCATCCCTGATGTTAGGAAAAAAGTGCGAAAGTCTACATTTTCTCGAGAATTTGCAGCATGTCTATTTTCAAACGTGTTACTATAAATAGAAACAGAAACCTCTGCTTCTTATTCTGTATTTCATATATGCTTTCTTTTACTTGTTGGTCACTGAATGCCAATAGCAGTAAATAACATATTGTCTGCAATTGCTCATCCAAAATGTGAGAAAAAAGTAGAAAAAAAAAAACATTTTCCCGATAATTTACAGTATGTCTATTTTTAAACTCATGTTACTATAAATAGAAATGGAAACCTCTGCCTCTCATTCTGTTTTTGATATAATGCTTTCTTTTACTTGTTGGTCGCCATATGCCAAAAGCAGTTAAAAACAGATAGCCAGCAATTATGCATCCAAAATTTTAGAAAAAAAATACAAAAATGACATTTTTCCGATAATTTACAGTACGTCTATTTCTGAACACATGTTATTATAAATAGAAATGGAAACCTCTGCTTCTCATTCTGTTTTTGATATAATGCTTTCTTTTACTTGTTGGTCACTATATGCCAATTGCAGTTAAAAACAGATAGTCAGCAATTATTCATCCAAAATGTAAGGAAAAATTAAAAAAAACGACATTTTTCCGATATTTTGCAATTCGTCTATTTTTAAACATGTGTTACTATAAATAGAAATGGAAACTACTGCTTCTCATTTTGTAATTGATATAAGACTTTCTTTTACTTGTTGGTCACTATATGCAAATAGCAATTAAAAACAGATAGTCAGCAATTATTCATCCAAAATTTTAGAAAAAGTACAAAAAACGACATTTTCCAGATATTTTGCATTACGTCTATTTTCAAACATGTGTTACTATAAATAGAAATGGAAACCTCTGCTTATCATGCTGCATTCCATTGAATGTTCTTTTGTTCTTGTCAGTCACATAATATCAGTTACAGTTAATGACAGTAAGTCGGTAAATTTCCCATCTCTAATTTGAGAATTTGTGGAAATTCAACATTAAACAGTTAATTTCATATGTGTCTATTTTTAGACATTTTTTCTATTTATAGAGATGAGAGCCTGTCCTCAATAATTTGTGAGATATTATACTATTCCTTGTTCTTATTGATGAAATATTGGAGAGATCCATATTTTTATTATTTATGATTCTGTGGAGCTTCAAAATGATGGAAAATTGACATTTTTCATCATTTTATGAGACATGTCTATATTTAGGCATTTGAAGCTATAAATAGAAAACGGAAATCCCTGAAAATAATATGCATGGTAGTTATTGGTGTCCAGTCTCTGACATTAGCATATTGACTTTTACAGTATATTTCATAATTACCTAGCAATGGCATCTTAAACTCTGCCGAAATTTCATTTTTTGGATTTTTCTGAAATATGTCTATTTTTAGATACATGTTACTAAAAATAGCATTGAGATCCCACTCCATTTTTTTTCATGAGGGGACACTACTCATACTGACGTTTGACGACACGCATATGATTTGAAAAATTTCTGTAGACAATTTTTTTTATTTAACCTTAAATTTCTCAAAAAATGCCAAATTTTCCATTTTTCACATTTTGAGAAACTATGCTACTTTGCAGAACCATTTTCAAAGAGTGGGGTCAATTCTGGAATAACTGGTTATATGCCCTGTATTCCTTAACAGTCGATGTTTTATTATTATACAAATATTTAAATTTGAGTTAACTACAAAAAGATAAAAATGCATTCATATTTCCTCAATTTTCATGTTTTTGTTCGGTCAAAAATGGCCGAAAATGGCCAAATTCAATGGATCCGTCTCCATGGCAACCGGGTGCACGTAGGAAACTTCTAACACCATATTTGCTGGTTTTGTACCAAGGTGCACCTGTGGTGCAAATTTCATCAAAATCGGAGATATGTCGTTTCCAAGATTTTTTGGTGCTTACAGAGAATGCATGTTAAGTATTAAAGACTGATTTGTGGTTTAAAAGAATTTTATTATTAGGATGAGAATTATGAGAATAATTGAGATTTGTAGGTGTAGAGATAATTGTCCTTAAAAACAGTCATGATAATGAGTAATAAAGAAAAAGACGATATAACTTTTTACCTGACAGTTTGTTTTACCTCAACTGTTTTTGTTTTTTCAATGGACTTTTATCTTAATTACGAGTACTGTTCATTATATTTATATGATAAGCACCAGATGTGTGTTTTAACATACCATTTCCCTTGAGCTCTATTACAAATTTTCCTTCAAACAGCAATCCGGTTTCTTCATTGAAGGCAGTGTAACCAATCTTCGTATGCCTTTCCTTATCTGAAAGTTTTTTGATATTTTGATTTTTTTAAACTATGGGTGTTCAAGGGAATTGATATAGTAAATTTTAATGTAGATGCATATGTTTCAATGACTAAATAATCAATTTAAAAGGAAAATATCATTCAATCATGACCGTTCACGGTAGCTCAGTCGGTAGAGAGCGTTCGCTCCGTGATCGGGATGTCGTGCGTTCGCATCTCGGCCGCGACTGACCTAGTCGTTAAAATTTGTAGCAACTGTTCCTTCGCCATGCGCTCGGCACTTTGAAGTGAAAGTTGCGGGTCCTTCGGATGAGACCTTAAAAACCGAGGCCCCGTGTCAGCGGCAGGCGTTGGCACGATAAAGATCCCTCACTGCTCAATGGCCCTGAGTGCCGAGTAAAGGTCAAAATTTGAAGCCCTTCACCGGCATACGGTGACGTCTCCATATGAGTGAAAAATTCTCGAGAGGGACGTTAAACAATATACAATCAATCAATCATTCAATCATGGTTGCACAGCAAGGATAGATAAACATATCGCATAAATTAAATGTCAGGGTTCTGCATCATTTTAAATTTACATGTGGCTCAAATTTTAAAATATTTGTTTAACTTACAGGAACTTGTTGTTTGGACATCCCTTGGCTGGAGAAGATTTTGAACTGTACTTTTACCACATGAAGCGTCCAAAGCTGAGAGGAAAAGTTTAATGGCTTCTGCTCCTTTATGTAAAATCAATTTTACAAACTGCAAAGTTTCTTTTCTACAACACTCATTGCTCCTATGTATTAATTCCAGTTCATCTGAAGATATCATCCCAGTACTCAAAAAAGGGGTTTGAATTGAGCGAATGCTCACTATATCCAGTAGCTCCGGTAAATTGTCCAAAATATTTCCTTTGACTTGTTCAATGTCTGAAAATTGAAACACATTAGTTTCAACACACTCTTACTCACACACTTAACCCGCACCTCCCCCTCCCTAAACACAGAGAAAGAAAGAAAGAGATTTCACTTTTTTCTACTTTTGAAATATTGTGTATGATTTAAAATTTAGATCAACATAGGTTTTAGTGACTTGATATTAAAAAAAGCTTCAAACTGTTGATTAAACACGTAATAAAGCAATAAGTGTCGAAAGAGCAAGTACTGCATTCTTTTATTCATATTGTGTTTTATTAAGATAAATTAGATGTTATTAGATAGTGTTACCAATATCCCGATATTTCGATGTATCTGGAACAAGTTGGTCATAAATATGTTTATTTTTCTCCTTCAGTTTTTCTAGAACAACTCCAATTTTCTCATCGGATTGATCTTTCAAATATTTCAAGAAGGCTTCAGCTTTCATTGTTCTCAAACCCGGCTGGTAGAACATTTCAATAACTGAACCAAAAATATCAGCAACTTCTTGTTCTTTTAGTAAACATTGCGGCTCAAGTTCCTCTAGAAGGAAGCTGTAACATCTCTCCAAAAGGGACCTATGTGTAATCTCAGGTATTGGACCATCAGCTGATTTCAGAATATCAGAAGGTGGATCTGTAATACAAAACAAATATTCCTGGATGATTTTTTTTTCAAGTCACACCCAATATTGTATGTAACTCAATTACTCAAGTGGGTAAAATGACTTTTAAAAAATGTCCTTAAAATTTCCTTTTAAATACCTGTTCGTTCGTGTGCTTCTCTGATCTGAACTTCAATGTTGTACTTTTCTTTTGTCAAAAGTGTTCGAACATCTCTAGATTCGAATAGGTGTGCTAAAAATCTGCAGATACCCTCTTTTTCTATGAATTGTTTTAACTTTGCAATGGCGTAAGGTGACTCCGTTTGAAGAACAATTATAATAGATCCTAAAGATGTTTTATCAAAAGTAAAGTGTGTTCCTTGAGCAAACAATTCTTCCGAGTTTGGGATTTCTTTTATCACTTTCTCAAGAACTCTTTCATTTCCATCAACACCAGAGATTATCATTTTTATTTTCTGTATTTCCATTTGAGGAGCTAAAAAAGGAATGGTGTTTATTAATGCTATGTCAATTCAAACATTAGTAAAAATTTAGTTGGTTTCTTGTTACATCATTTTTCTTCCTGGATATTATTTTTTAAAAACAATTTTTTGACATCTGGTTTTAAAGCGAAAGAGAACTATGAGTATATGCTGAATAACCCCTGGTATAATTCCTCTTGAAGTTAATTGAAATGATAAATCTTACAAACTATGCTGTTATCTACTTTTTCAGGTATTAGCTGGCTCAGTGCATACTGATCACTTATTAATAGGACATGATTCTTTCATGATTTGTTTGTACACTTTAGATCAAAGTATGCTTTAATGGATGTCAAGAGAAACTGAGCGGTTTTGATTTTTCAGAAATTAACAGGACCAAATTAGGCACTAACTAGCTCTCCTGTCACTACCTGAATGAATGGGATTTCCAAAAATATTTTTTAAAATATGTGATTAAGGGCCCTTATTATACAATCATGCAATAACTATATGACAAGGTGGAGATAACGAACAAAGATAGAAGAAATATAAGGAATAGAATACCGGGGTATATGGAGATAACGAACAGCATTCAAGCTCAACAGTCCATTCGAAAGTGTCGATCTTATAAAAAAATATATATAAACAATACAAACATGTGAAGCGGGCATAAAACAGAAACCCAAGAAAATCCCCAAAGTAAGATCAGATGCGTAGAAGAAGTAATTTAAGGGAGGCAGAACACATGTCACAGGACTCAAAAAGACAGATCACGTCATAGTCGGTGCTGATGTACTGTACATCTTTGTTAAAATAAACTGTTCATGTGTAATTTTATTCTTCAATGTTTTGTTAAAATGTGTTTAAAAAAAATATTTTAAATATTTCAAGATCTTGCCAACATTTAGATATTTTGAAATTGCCAAATCCACACATCCGCTTTCTTTACCCTGCAATCTGACGTCAGTGAAATCAAAGACGTAGTATTTGAATTCTCAGTGCAGTGAGATCAAATACATAGTAGCTAAACCCGTCATGATCAGTTTTATTTCATAATGAACACGCCACAGTCAATTTATCGTGATAATTTCTAAAGCATATATTTTAACTATATTTTTCGTGTATGGTTACAGAGATTCTCCTCTCTATTTAGACAATTTTGTGTTTTTATGTTTTCGTGTGACGTCACAATTAATTCCCCGCATTTGGAAAATGTAAACGTGAAGCGTGTCTAATTCTAGTTCTGTCTAATTGTCTAAGTCTAATTCAACGATGTCCTGAGCGATATTGGGTTAAACTTTACCCTGCAATATTTATACAGTTAATTAGTACGCAGAAGGATTGACATTTAATCGTAAATTTAGCAATATTAATTGACAGTTTTTTTTTTTCCAAAATGAAGTGTTTGTTGTTGGAGCTGCCTTGAAAAATGCTGAATTTACCCCACCCAAATGCTTTCAGATAATTTAAACACTATAAATATACTCCGAAATATTTGAGTATATAGTGTCATCTAACATATTTATTATTTTTGCGTAAAAATTCGCATTATGGACTCCATATTGGACCCGTAAACATGAAGTATTAAAACTCCATATAAACATTATACAGCGCGATATTTGTGAGGCAATATCTTTCAAATAAGTCAAAAAATCTCACGACAGGACCTTTTTAAATGTTAAGTATATACCTAATTAGTAATATAAAACATTTGAATGAAATTCATTGAAAGTATTTTGTTCCAGCTCAGGGTCCTCCTTAAGCATCCCCTTTTTACCGGTCATATGAATGAATAAATATCTATTAAGAATACAAGATGTGCACTTCGAAAAAAAAATACCTATCATGGAAAAATGCACGTCACCACCCACAAATTCCACTTTCAATTCTTCTTCATTTTCTGAAAAAAGAAAGGGTCATTTGCATGAATATCTTGTATCAAAACCTATATCAAACATTCTTTCGCTTTTTTCCCCATAATGACAACAGTTACTGCAGAATATTTTGTCACCTGTTTTCTCCAAGCCAGTCCTGTCTATCTCTTTCAAAAGACGCTCTGCAAGATTGTTTATTTTATGCTTTTTCAGAATTGAAAGCAATTTAAGATATGATCCTGGTAATCTTTTGGCTATAAGATTTAGAAGCAAAATAGCTGCTTTGGATTTCTTTTTCTCAGCCGATATTTCTTGATGATCCTCAATAGAAAGGAGATTTTCTTCCAAGAAATCGTCAACAATGCTATCGCTTTCACTTGATATCCTGTGCATGACTTCTCCTAGAAGTTCATCTCTATTTTCATTCAATATCATGTCCAAACATTTACAGTTTAGAACTTAAATGGAAAAAACTGTATTAGTTTCATTTATAGAAAAGGTAATATTTTTAAAGCACAATAAATATTTCTTAGAGTTCTTCCTAACGTTCCTGTTCAAAAACTGGTGTCCGACTTCAAAACAAATAACGAGAAATTTTATAAAACTTGATTCTTTGTTAGACTTTGGTTGACAAATTTTTACCTGGTTAATTAATTAAGATAAAGAATGTAATGATGAATTGCAATATACAAAAAAAGAATGATTATACCTTTATCAGTGGTCTTTACATTTTCATTTGTCGAGGTTTCAATGCTTGGAAGAGAAAGAAAACAATGAAATCCTTCCTCCTGAGGATAAAATATTATCATTCTTGATAATTCTGTCAAATGATTTGGATGCTGTAACAATCTTTGTAAAATGAAGTCGCATTTCTTTGCTCGAGGTATTCCGATAAGGAAGGAATTTTCATCTGTGTTCAAAATATTGTGCTGTACGAGATAATCTACTAGAACATTTGGTTCCATTTCCCTTTTAAGAAATTTATAGTGCCTCCTTATGTCTTGTGTTTTCAAGATGATCCTATTCCCTGCATTACAATTTTCCTCTCTACAGCACACTATTGATTCTCTTTTCATTCTTGGAAAGATTAGAATGCTGAAGAAAAAAAAATATAATTTCATGTTGTTGTTTTGACATTAATAATCAACGTGCTAAATAAATAACACTTTTTTCACTGATAAAAAGTCCATGTCAATCATTGAAAATAATGATAAGGTACGAGTAAGTTGACATAAAAGATTACTATAAGTGACATCAAGAAATCGTCTGGAAAAATACAAAACATGGTTATTTTACATTAGTATTTATAAAGCTTTGAACTTTATGAGAAGTTTCTAAGAGAATTGCCGTAAAGAAAACGTTAATAAGTACTATAATCTAGAGATAGAATACCATTTTTACTTACCGGTTGCACAATTTGAATTTCAGAAATTCTTTTTCACTCCTATTACGATGCGATTATATTTGCAATGTTGATCCATGAATAAAAAAGTACTTTAATCTCTAGATGAAAAAACAACAAAAAGAAATTTAGAAAAAATAAAGCAAAGAAGACCATAAGTCACAAGATTCAATCAATTTAATTTTTTTTCAAACAAACATATTGAAATATTTAGTGTGATAAATGCATTCATTATAAACATACGAGGGCTGCTCAATAAATAATGTTCTGCACTCTATGACTTAAAACAAAGATATCATATGACATTAAGCTTGACTTTCTCTCATGATTGAATATTCAATGAATGAATATCCGTTTATGTGACAATTTTTCATCTAAAATTTTTATTGTGCGAAGCTGTAAAACAAGGGCTATATATTCGAGACACTGCATCTAAAATGAATGGTAAATATCAGTAAACAAGAGTGAATCAAACGCTTCATTGAAGCTGCTGTAAAACTTGTTAAGAATCTAAAGAAATATTCACTGAAATTTGTGAACTGTACAGCAACCAATATCTCTTTTATAGAAAGATGAGCAGTTGGATTTCAATGAACAATTATAATGATATAAAGGACGTCAAAAATTGGCACTGTCCTTGGCGACATGGATTTACAACAACCAATGTTCTGCTTGCCAAAGTTCAACAAATTATCACTTATGATGTTTTATTGACTTAAAAAAACATATCAAATTCGATAGACATTAATTAGGATGTATTTCACACCATTTTAAAGAAACATTCGACAGCAAAAAAGCTAAGTACTAAATGGCCACCCTATATTTTGAAAAATGAATGTAAACGAGAGCGAGTAAGAATATATAAACAATTTTTTTAAAATAAGAAATTGAAGTCATCCACGCTTGTCTGAAATTCAAACAGATAATCAAACTTGAATTCATTGCTTTAGACCCTTAAAACAAATTTACAATCAGATGCACTTGACAAAAACAGGAAAGGTCTGAAAAGAGCAAAAAAAATTGCAAGAGGACAAAGACGGTTTTATACGCCATTTTCGTAAAGACTAGTGGTCTTGTTGTTCAAATTAGTATTTGGAGAGGCAGATCAATGGAGGAGTCTAGAAACTAAACTTATTGCAAAACAATCGAAAGGTTTATGAGAGGAAGGAACATACGGAAGCGTATTAGGCCACGCAATATTTTTTAAGTTGGAAATTCCAACTTTAATCTGGCTTCCATAGTTGGAATTACCAACTTTAAAGTTGGAATTACGAAGATTAAAGTTGGAATTACAAACTTTAAAGTTTAAATTACCAAGATTAAAGTTGGAAATACTAACTTTAAGGTTAGAATAACTAATTTTAATGTTGGCATTTCCAACTTTAAAAATATCACATGGCACAATAATACGCTTCCGTAGGAGCCAAATTAGGAATCCACTACACTGAATTTCTTAATGACAGCGTCCAATCCCATACTCCCTGAAGAGTAAAGGTGCTTTGGGGATAAACAGCTAGAAAGGTAATGTTTTGTCACACCACAACAATATTCGCCAGATCTGTCACCTGTTGACTTGGTTCAATTGGCAAATTATTAACTCATCAAGCAAAGATAATCAATTTATCATAACTTTTTGTTGTTTAATGATCCTTATAAATTTTGTGAGCATCGACTTCATAGTATTAATTTTATTGCACCAGTCTTTGAACTTTTTCATAACCCCTTGTACCTTTGGTTCTGTCTGATTCAAAGGGATAATGTTTTAAAAAGGTTGGATGTTGTGTTGCATTGGAATACCATCACTTATACGAGCGTGGTCTCGGATAAGTGAGTTTATTTCAGTAACCTATGTCACCCCCTTTCCAGATATCTTAAGTCCTTTCAAATATATAATTATATTCATCCTTAGTCACAACTTATCATTCCGGATAATTTAGGTGAATTTGCATACAGTCTAATTTAGCTGTTTCCTCTTCTTCCTTTCTCGATGAATTGATGATACTGTAAGGTCATGAAAAATTGTATGAAGTTGAATTGTAGCAATGTTTTATTTTTTTAAATGAAATAAGTTTGATATCAAGGGTAACTATTAGGGTTTGTTATTTCAAGCTAAATTAGACGTGCCGATGGTGTAATTTTAATTTGGATTTGCCCGAGATTTTTGTTTAGATCAAACGTCGACTGTCAAGGGATGGGTTCATGTAAGCAATTAATTTTTTAGAGTAAAATGTTAACAATCCCCGATTCGCTAGTGGTGTGTGTGGGGGGGGGGGGGGGGAGGTGGGGGGTGTCAAGTGCAGAAATATTAAGTCAGACATACGTGTTGTTTTCCAGAAATGTTATGCAGCCTGAAGAACTAACTTACACATTTTGCCAAAATTCAATAATCTTTAAATGACAATGATTATTGAACATTCACGAGAATTGTGACACTTTCACTTCTGCTGTAATCAAAGTACTAAATGTACTGAAAGGATGGTGGTTAATTTCATCATTGTTATGAGTCATTTACAGTTCGGTATCGTTTCATTTGTTTACTGGTCTATCGAAACATTTTAATAAAATTCATAAAGGCAAACACGGAGAATATTTAGATAAAAAAGTCTTAGGTTTATATGAACTGATTTTCCCTCTAACAAAAAAGGGGAGGGGTCTCTAAATGATTATACTCAACGGTGAAACCATGGAAAGCGTTATTGTCCACCTGGTCAATGACTGAATAAAAAAAAACTTTAAAGTCAGAAATTTCTGATTTTTTTTTTGTCTCAGGGTGAGCTGTCAAAGGCTCAAAGTACAACAAAGCTGTAGTAATTTGGCTTCATAAACCTTAGAGTAAAACAGCAATAATAAAACATTCAAATGCTTTAGACTAGATATGCTGGGTTCAGTCACAAGTAAAGATCAAATTATATTAGAACAAGGCATAAGAGTCGCATTAGAGTAAGAAGCTGTAACTTCTGTCTCAGGTTGTCTCGATCTTCATATTGGTCCTTTAAAAAGGAAATTAAAATTCACAAATTGATAAGAAAATAAATCAACCTGCTCGAATGAATGGGCCACAAAACAAAGCTTTTGAATAGGCATTAAAATAGAAATATAAAAGATTTCGATTTCCAGTAAGACTAAATTCTCTACCCTTAAATGTCCATCAAGTACATAATACTCTGACATTATCTTAAAGCATCATATAGTCAAAAAAGATTGCCCAAGAGAAAGTTTAAACATTCATTAACTAAGCAGTGCTTAATTAACAAAAATTGCATTAGGGGAAAGCGATTTTGATAAAATAAGAGTTAAAATAATGCAATATCATTTAAAACATTAGAAATATCATTAAAAACATTAGAAATAGAATGATAATTAAAAACAACTTTTTTACCAGATAATTTTTTACAAAATAATTTTCAATTACTTTTAAATAAAGGGAAATAACTCTTGGCAAAAATTAAGGTCATAAATTTGGACACATTCCACCGTTACATGCTTATAGTAATAAATGGGAATTATGTCGAAATAAATCGAATATTCAACAGTAACACTTCCTTAATATGTTCTATTTCACAAACCTACAACCTTCTCCAAAATCTATATTCTCAGATATTTAGCTAATTTTATTATTCAAAGGTGTTGTACATTGACGAATCCATTGTCACTTGCACACAAGTATGTCCATTGCCCACCAATTTATCTGAACTAGTATGCATGTGTGACTGATCGTATAAGAAACATTGTTTAAGAAAGTTCTCAAGTAACATATAAATCAACTAAAAAGCCCATAAAAGACATGCCTTTGCTTGCTTATTGTCATACATTACAACCTGTTTCAGGGTATATACCCCTCAAAATTCAACAGCCAAAATTTAAGGTAGAGTATTTTATATTTTTATTATGCACCAAAACACATAACTCAACAGATTGATGTTGAGTCAACTAATTGTTCATAATTATAAAAACTCTTAAATGTTTATATCATGCCACATTTATTGAATAGGATTATATCTATGATTGTATAATTGTTAAGGCATGCACATGTTTTATCATGATTGATCAGAG